CGCAGCGTTCAGGACCCTGGGCCGGGCGCGGCCCCTCCTCGCCTTGGTGCCCCGGCCAGGCGAGTGCCCGCGGCACTCTGAAGCCACGCAGCCGTCGCCGTGCACCTGCAGTCCTGGCCCACCGGGCGGACACCGCGGAGAGCGCCAGGCCCCCTGTTCCCAGCGCGCAGGCCCTGGCGCTATGGCATGTTGGTCCCCTCCCGGGCCTCTGTTTACACAGACCTTTCCCTTAACACCTCGGAGCCTGTCCCTGGGGTCAGGCTGATGTCCCTGCTCCATGCTATTCCCGAACAGGGCCAGACCCCTCTCATCTGGAGCTCCCCTGGCATTCATGGGGGTGGGGAATTTGTGACACTGTAGGGGCCCCGTCATTGTTTATCTCTTGCCCCTCTCACAGCCCTCGAGCCCCTCCACTGGACCTTGTCCAGGTAGTGGTCAGGGTAGGGAGGGGCAGGGGGTGCTGGATTCTCGAGCTTCCTGGCCCAAACCGCAGGTTTGGGAGTGTGTGTAGGTGGGGGAACTAGGGTCGGGTGAGCCCCTCAGCTTCCCAGAGGGAGAGTGGAGTGCCCCTCGGGAAGCACGGGGCATCCTGCCCCTGCCTGGGATAGGCCTGTGGGCAGGCCCACCTCCTGCAGGAAATCCCACCCACCAGCTCCGCGGCCGCTGCCTGCTTAAGGTGGACCTGTGCCTTTGCAGTGCCTGGCTGCAGTGTGGACAGAACAGGCCGAGCAGCCAGGCAGAGCAGTGCAGAACCTCTGGGAGGCTGGGACCTGGGTCAAGCTCTGAAGCCCCCACAGTGAGGACCAGCAAGTCTCTGTTCCTCCAACACAGCCCCAGGGCCCTCTGCTCAGAAACCAAGACCCATCAGCACCCTCCCCAGCTGGGAATCCCTGTGGGGGGGTCCTCACCCTCTTTGGCCATAGGCACCTGCTCCTCTCATGGCCAGAATCCCTTGCTGCCCAGGAGCCACTTTCTCAGGCCATGTTGCCACAGGCCCCGGGGCTCCTTGGCCTGGAAGCCCCTCCCTGCCTGTATGTGGGCTGCTGTGAGCCATTAAAAAGACCCTGGGCTGGGGGCCAGAACTGGGGCATTAGTACAGCTGCTTGACAAAAGATCCGGTCATGGGCTTTTTCCCATAATGCTCCAGTTGTAGCCTCTGCCCAGTGGGGAGCCCACGTTAGGGGGCCCAGCACAGAGTTGGGGGGCACCCTAGCACTGAGTGGCAGGCTCGGGGCACAAGAGTGAGTGAAGAGCAGACACCTCCTTACCTCTGCCCGTGGTGCCTCAGCACTGATAGCCTCAGTGCCTGGAGATGCAAGGTCCAGGGTCCTCACGAAGACTCCAGTCAAAGCATGCCCCACCCAGGGCTTTGCCATTGCTCCTGCCCTTCTGCAACCCAGCACTGGGACCGCAGGCCCCTGGAAGCCTCTAGATGCCAGCCTGCCCATGGGGAGCCTTCCCACAGGCTCCCAAATGGTGACTCAGGCCCACGTCTGACTCCAGGTCTGTGTAGGGGCACCAGGACAGCTGAGAGCTGTAGAGTGAGTGCCAAGCACTGGTCAATGAAAGGAGTGCTTGGTGCCTCCTTGGTGAGGTCCCTGCAGACTTCCTGGGCAGAGGAGAGTCCTGGGTTGGGGGAGGGGAGAAGAACAGGGGGAGACCCAGTGAGGCCTCCGGCCCAGGAGTCCTCCCCCCACTTAGGAGTTAAGATCCCTGGGAAAAGGAAAGCAGAGCAGAAAGCTTGCCCAATGGACTGACCTGGAACAGAAAGGTGTATCATCTCACTTCTCACTCCATCCGCAATACCATCAGCACACCTGTTATGGCTCACCATTGCCTCTGTGCCACAGGGAGGAACCCACCTGAAAACACACTGGCTGAGGGGTATGGGAGATGCACCTCTGGCATCCCTGCTCATCCCAGTGGGACTGAATGTCAGGACTGCACGTCTCCCTTTCTGCACCATTCTGCAGTGTCAGCAAGCCACCTGTAATGCAGCCTGGTCACAGCACAGCTCTGTTCCCCAGCCATCTTGAGGGGCCTACCCTGCTGTCAGGGTTTTCCCCCCTTGGAGACACAACTCATCACCCAAGAGGAAAGAAGTCAGTCTGGGGTTTCACATCAAGTGGGATTTACCTTGTATTTGAGCCCAAAGCAAAAACAATGTTCAACCATTCTGTACTAAGTAAAAGGGGTGTCTGACTGTCCTTCCCTAAAGGATCAAGCCTGGGCCAACCTTTCATACGTCGATGCATCCAACGGAGGCCCACGGGGAAGCAACACCTGTCCTTTACGTCAAAATTCCAATTCATCAGGATGGGCAAGGTACACAAGCTTCAATGTCCCTCCTTGGTGGGAAGGGCCTCTGTGCCAACACTGATTTTAAGAGCACCCAGACCTGTGCCCTAGAGGCCTAAGGCTGCCAGGACACAACAATGCTGGCCAGTGAGGTCTTAGGTTTGGTTTAAGAAAAAAAAAAAAAAAAAGAGCAGCATCCTTTGGAGGTGCTTCCCCCAGAGAGAACAAGGACCCGAGGTTTGGAACCAGACACAGGTCACAGGACACACAGAGCACACTGGGAGGTCGGACAGAGCAGGACCCAGCTGGTCAACTCTGGCCACACTGTAAAGTGCCTTCAGCAGGTGTTAATGGCCAACAGCCGAGTGAGAGTAATCCACCCCAGGGCCGGGTCCAAACTTGCTCCTCCCCCGCTGGAGGGCAGTATGGCCACACTCCGCAGCCCCGTTGGCCTCCCAGGACACACATTACCACGTGTGACCATGTGCTTTGAAAAGCCTGCTGGTGCACCAAAAACCCTTCTCCCCGATTTAGGACAACGTTCAGACACAATTTGTTTTACAAGAGGAACCCCCAAATGGCACCCATTTGCATTCGAAAGCATCCCTTTATATTTAAAGCTATAGCAGATGTCCACAATTCTACCCAGATGCAGATGCCACGAGCGAGCGGGTAGGGCAGTTTTCTCTGAGGGTGGCAGCGGGGTATCCAAGGAGGGCTGTGGGGCCAAGCACCCCCTCACACATTGCACCAGACTGGACAAGTGTGCCAGGGGACCGGCCTTTCCCTCCGCCAGGGCAGAGGGCCAACCAAACGCAGCCTTGGCCAAAGCCTGGAAACCTACCTGGCCTTCCTGTGTGAAAAGCCAGGGCACTCTGGTGGTCTTCCTTTCCCTCCCCCAGGCCCCCCCGACCCCGAGGCAAAAAACAACAGCAAGACACAACAAAAGCCTACCTACTCCTTGCCACAAGGCAGAAGCGTGTGGCCGCCCCACCTCAGACACAGCACAGCCCCAGGGGCCAACAGCAGCCCCCAGGCCAAGGCTAAGCCAGTGGCAGCGCGTGGGCCCCACAGCGCTGCCCCAACAGCCCGGAGCCAGCAGGCACCCACACTGCTCCCAGGACAGGGCCGGCGCATACACGGTCCTGCCCTCCATGCAGGTTTCGAATGTGTCGTTTATTCACTATTTTTGATGACTATAAATAAGTGTTTCCACTATGGAAAAGAAAGTGAGCACAGTACATTTTCATGACTGGGGAATGGATTTTCTGAAGTCTTCTTCAATAGGGCAAAAACTTAGAAAAAAACAACCTGAATGTTGGAATTCAGTTCTTTATATAAAGTCCCTTGTAAAAACAAAACAGAATAAAAACAAACTGAAAAGAAGGGGCAGGGCAAAATTTAAAAAAAGAAAAAGGAGGAAAAGAACGGAAGGAAGAGAAGTCAAGGGGAGGTGGCTTATTGCTCCTCCTCCGCTCCAGCCTTGCTCTCGGTGTCTTCCGACTCCTTGCTCTCCTCCTTCACGGAGAGAGCTTCTAGCTTCTCAGTCACCTTCTCGGCATCGTCGTTTTTGCCCGACCCTGCTGAGACATAGGGGGACGCAGTAAGAAAACCGGGAAGCGCCGCTCTCTGCAGCCCATCCACCTCCTGTGGCCCTGGGCCAAGGCCGCAGGACAGGACAGGCCGCTTCACCACGTGCCGGCCAAGCCAGCCTCCAGGGGCACACAAACGAGTTAAGAGCTCATGCCTGGGACGGGAGTCAGGGAGCTCAGTTAGGTCAGGTCCCTTACTAGGGCAGCCATCGTCGGGCCCCAAGCAAGCAGGTGACTGCAAGGACCTCTTGAGGCCCCTTCGGCCGTGGACTCTAGCCAGATGTCGTTACGTGACCACCTGGCTGGGTGCTGTGAGGCCAGGCCAGGGAGCATGTGCTTGGGGCCTTGATGGCCAGCTCACTCCCCAAGAAGTACCCTGTGTCCCCAGACGGCTGTATCACCCTTGACAGGTTGAGGTGGTCACAGCACCCTGGGATGTTTCTGTGGCAGACGGAAAAAGCACCCGCCTGGGGCTGCAGCCGGATGCAGAGTGAGTCTGCAAGGAAGTCCCCTACCCATGACACCATGTCACCTTTCTTTTCTCTCTCCTCGATCTCTTTCCTGCATTCTTCAAACTTTGTTTTGAATTTCTGTGCATCTGTGGAAAGAAGAGACTTCCTAAGATCCCTGAGCAGTGAAGGGGACACGTCCTGGAGGGTCTGAAGAGTCAAGATTCACAAATGGCTCATCCCATGGCCAATTTGGACTTAAGGACACAGCCCTGGGCTCACTCTTACTCAGATGGAGCAGTAACTGTTTCTCGAGTCCCTCCTGAGACCGGTGGCTATGCTGGGCTGTCTCCCTCCATCTGACGCTGTGACAATCTGGGCAGAGCAGTACATGGTACTGGCGGCCGTGCACAACCAAGGGCAGGGGCCTGCCTGCCAGGCACGTCAGAGCAGCTGCTAGACGAGGCCCACTGGGCACTTCTGACAACCGGGGCTGGAAAGGGACAGGCCTGCCCGGGGTAGACTGAATGCCCAGACCCCTTTGAGGTTAAAAGGGAAAAGACCCTGCTCGTGGCCTCAAAGCCCAGATGAGGCCTCGTTGGCACATGGCTCAACTACAGGGCTTGCATCCCTCCCCCAAGGGAGCACCAGACTGCACGGTGGGACCAGCCCCTACCACACACTTCCCAGGCACAACCAGTTCTCCCTGCAAAGCCCTGTCAGACGAGTGGCCGCAGTCAGGCAGTCCCCAGGGCCCAGCACCCTTCTGCTTACTTTCAGCATTTAGGAAGCGGATGGCCAGCAGCTCTGGCTTGGGGCACTCGTCGGCAAAGTCAGCATGGGTGTTCCAGACCCAGGCACGGTCACTGCCCGCATTCGGCTTCAGTTCCATCATCGGCGTGACTGGGGAAGAGGAGACAAGTGAGAGTCCTGTCAACTGCGGCGAGGCCACCCCGCCACAAAAGGCCTGGTTGCCAACGCAAGGTCCCACTTTGGGGTCCACCAACCAGGCCTAAACGAAGTCCCGTGGGACAGGGATCTTAAACATGTTTCTTTGCAAATACCTCGTGTTCACTTAAAACCAAGACTGTCCTAAATCTGGAAACAGGGTGACCTGCTCCCTGACCCGAGAACACCTCAGCAAGCGTTCTCCAATTCCACTGGAACAAGGGCTCCAACACCAACAGAGCCACTCATACCTAGCCCTTCCTGTGGAGCACCTATCACGTGGCTGTGTCCACGCTCAGTCACACCATCAGAGACCTGGCCCATCGGGAGGTGGGGGACAGAAACCGTAAGCAGGGTGACCCCCCCCAGGAGGGCATGGGGTCGGACCAGGGCAACCACTCTGACATTGTCCAGGGACTTGGGGGACGAGGCCACCAGAAGTGGACACCGTGGGGCTTGTGATATACATCATGGAAGACAAAGCTATGACCTGGAATAAGCACAGCTACCCGAGGGTCCTCAGGCTTTGCGCAGCCCCAATGGCGGAAAAGGGAGAAAGATTGCGCAAAGAACAAGAGCACCCCCAATGCCGCACCCACCGGTGTGCCCCTGCACCCCTGGCAAAGGTCTCCAGGGATGTGGGCTGGCCCACGCCCAGCCCCAAGCACACGCGACCATCTGAACCGGGACCAGTCACACCATCCTCATGGAGACACGTGGCAAGCCCTCAAGCTGTACAGAGCACAGAGGCACGGATGCCGCCTCCCGCCACCACCCGCCTGAGCCCTCAAGGGCTCTACGGTATGTACCAGGCCCGGAAGCCACCTACAACTTGGAAACAACCCAGTGACCTGACAAGGCTCTGGAAGAAGCACAGGGTGTCAGGAAAACCCCTGCAGAGCGATTCAAATTGGAGTGGAGGCCAAGGGCCAGGGAAGACAGGGGGTGGTGGGGTTCACGAGAGGATACCTAAGCAGCCCCCTAAGGAAGGGCATGAAAGGGGCACCTGGGTGGCTCAGTTGGTTAAGCATCTGCCTTCGGCTCAGGTCATGATCTCCGGGCCCTGGGATTGAGCCCTACATCGGGCTCCCTCCTCAGTGGGGCGTCTGCTTCTCCCTCTCCCTCTGCCTCTGCCCCCCACTCGTGCTCACTTGCGCTCTCTTTCTCAAATAAATAAAATCTTATGAAAAAAAGGAAGGAGATGAAAGCCCCTCTGCACCACCCCTCAGGACCTCTGCAAACCTGCCCATCCTTCCACATCACCCTCAAGGGCTGTTCTGCTCAGGTTCCTGCCTGGTCACCCTGTGTGCCCAGATGAGGGGCCCTGCCCTGCCAGACATGCATTCTACCCAGTAACGCAGACACGGCACTGGATCAGGAATGCAGCCCAAAACACGTCTGCTTCCCAAGACACACAGCACTGCAGGACAACCCAGAAGCCAAGAGACTGTTACGGTGGGGAACTTACTGTTGCCCCTTCACAGGCCAGGCCTGAGGGGGCTTTTCCCAGACTCTACCCCCATCCCCACCATGTTAAGCCCAAGGATGGTGCATCACACCTGTCCAAAGGCCTCAGCTTGTCACTACCTGTTCAGTCTCACAGGCACAAGGACAGGTAGCCACCTTCTCTCCCCACCCCTTTTCCCTTCTGTGTCTTCCTCAGGGGACACCCTGCAGGGACAAAACACACTGAAGAGTGGGAGGGCTTCCTACTGGGCACATCAAATATATATGGGAGCACACGTCCTCACAACACTGCCCAGTCCTTGGGCAGGCACCTCATGGTCCCAAGCCCACAATGGGGCTCTGTGTCCACCCCGTCATGTCCTATCTGCCTGGACTCCACACCCCGTATGCCAGAAGTTTCTCTGAAAGTCTGCTCCGAGTTCAGAGCATGTGGGAACACCTCATTCCCTACTTTAAGTTCAGAAAACACCACGAATATGCACCCATGTCACAATGCACTCCCAGGCTCCCAGTGCAGCACTGAAGGCAACCTGCCCAAAGACCTGAAGCATCCTCGTGTGGGACTCAGCGTGAAAACACAGTCCCCAGAGGCCACCTACTATAATGGTTGGCGCATATCTTCAGGGTCTTGTCCCTCCTCATGAGGAGGCGGATGGTCCCTTTCTCCTTATGCTTCAGAAGCTTGACGTCACCAGTGCCTCGTTCCTTCCATTCTGGGAGATCATTCTCTGAAGCGAATCGGAATAGCTTTGCCCGCCTTCAAAAAAAGCCATTAAGAGAGAGCTTAGATGGGCAGAGGGAAATAAGTAGTCAAACACTGGCTTGGAAAGAACACTTGTTTTCTGTGCACTGAACAAATAGCTGTATCTGGTGTCTCCATAGACGCCCTTTCCTTTCTTTGCACTTTGAGGACTATTAGTCCAAAAATTACCAAAAGAGCAAAACAACAATTTCAAGTTATGAAATGAAAAAGAAAAGAGATTTCCAACAGAAAGGCCCAACTTCTCAGCAAAGATACCGCCCTGAGTACGCTGGGCTTGCCCGTCATCACAGTGCAGGGGAGCCCCTGGTGTCCCATAGGGCCACAGGGGTAGCTTGGAAGCAGATGGAGGTCAAGGACCCCTGCCCTCCAAAGGGCCAGCCCTTCCCTCTGCTGTGAGATGCCCCCTTTGCTTCCCTGGCCCCCCAACCCAAAGAGGGGGCTGCAGACCTCTGCTCAGGCCGCCAGGCTCTGGCCCAACACCCTGCCTTCCTGCCCAGAACAGCACCTCACATTGGGCCCAGCCAAGGCCCCCACCCAGGTAGGCACCAAAGCCCACATGGTGAGCCCAGCAGTCCTGCCTTTAGGACTTTAGGCTGATGTCCTCCATTCCCTTCCCCACCCGACCCAAGCCCTGCTGGTCCATTTTCTGCACAACACTCTGCTCTCTCCCCCAAGCTCAATTCTGTTAAGGGAGACAGTGCCCTCACAAGGATGCCACCAAAGCTTTCACCTGGAGCTCAAGGGCCCAGACGCAAAGGCCTGACCTGCTGGCCTCACTTCCCTCAGGAAGGGCCTGTGTCCAGGATCACCAAAAGTTCTCAGCCGCGCGCGCGTGCGTGTGTGTGTGTGTGTGTGTCAGCAACAGCACCAGCAGTAGTCCCCACTCCTGGGAGGAACCAGTCCTTGGCTATTGCACCATTTCTGGGCAAAGCAGAGATGTCAAGAACCAGTGTCTTCAGGGACACGCCCACCACTCTCTGAGACCAAAAGGTTGTATGTGACTCTCCCTCCCCAGACCTTTGGGCGTGGTGGGAAGGGGTTGGTCTCCCCAGTCTGCCTTCCTTAGAGGGAGGGGTCACTGTTCCTGCCCGACCCCCCACCCCAGGAAAGCACTCAAACCCTCAGCTGGCTTCTTGGGTAGAATCTGAAGGGGTGTGGGGGAACTCCACAAGCTTGGACAGGAAGAACACTCCAGCCTATTTCCATTAACTTGTAACAGAGCCTAGTGTTTCCTGTGATTCTGAGTATAGGCAACAGGTCAGTCTCGGCAGCACTGATTTTGTCACAAACATCTCAACACATGGCTGGTGCCAGCACTACTTAAAAATGTCCCTTGCCGGGGCGCCTGGGTGGCTCAGTCGTTAAGCGTCTGCCTTCGGCTCAGGTCATGATCACAGGGTCCTGGGATCGAGCCCCTCATCAGGCTCCCTGCTCAGGGCTCCCTGCTCAGCAGGGAGCCTGCTTCTCCCTCTCCCACTCCCCCTGCTTGTGTTCCCTCTCTCACTGTGTCTCTCTCTGTCAAATAAATAAAATCTTTAAAAAAAAAAAAAAAATGTCCCTTGCCATTGTAGCTTCTCAGTGAAGGTGTCAAAACACACGTGTAGAATAACTCTTAGACAGTAATCTTGGTAAGCATAACACCACCCCCTTTCACTTATAATTCCAGGTGTTATTTTGTGCATTAAAAACACTGAATTGGGAGCTTACAAACTTCAAGATGCCAGTCTACAGTGCAAAATAATAATAATAATAATAATAATAGAGACTCCCTGTTCAACCAGAGGAAGGGTGCCATGGGAGTCTTAGAGGTAACAAAGAGGTAACAAGCCTGTAAGGCTGCAAGGACGGGGGCTGTGGAGATGCACCTTTGTGGACAGAGCAGCAGGGACAGGACACCAGGGAGCACCTGTGCTCTCCACAGCACTGGCCACCAGAAGCAGCGGCACCCAGGGAAGAGGTAACCAATGAATGGATTCTAACAGCAGCCTTAATTTCCACGTAGGATTAGTCAGCACACAATTCCAAGCCCTTTCTTTAGCCTCAGTCCAATTAAAAGTCAGGCCAAGACCTTGACACCCATAAAGACCGTACTTCAATCTTACACTAACGATTCCTATGCCTGGAGCAACATGAGCTTACTTACATTTTAAAAAGTTCTTCTTCATCTTCTTCCAGCGTTTTAATTTCCTGCTCGGGAAGAGAAACTATAGGCTCAAACTGGGGATCGTGGTTGGACTCATCTGCATTCTCAGTGGAGGTGTCATGGTCCTCATGGGTGTCCTGTGGATTGAGGTGCAGAGAGGTGACTCTGCTGGCCCTAGAGCCTGGCCCCAACCCAGAGCTCAACAGTGCCTACAGTGGGCAATCCCTCCTAGTGAAAAGCCTTATCCCAAAGCAAGAGATTAAGCCCACAGTCTTTCACACAAAGAAAGGTTTGCACCCACATTCAGAGTGCAGTAAGATGCTGAACTTCAGCACCCTCCCCAGATGCATCAATCACACGTGTGGACAGTCGGACTGGGGCCCCTAAAGTTGGGCCCCCTACTGGCCAAAGAGACACTGCCTCACCACTTTGCACCTCAGTTTCCTCACCTGTAAAATGTTGATAATGACAATGCTAAGTGAAGATTAAAAGACATACTGACGGAAGAGAGCCTCAAGAAGAGTGCCACCCTTTAATCAAAAAGCAACCCTTTGAATTTCTACTGGTTGAAAAAAAATCAGTGCTCTTGTTTAGTAGAAGGCAAAAATATTACTACACAACTGTTAGTATTTACATGGAATTCACAGTTCTGTCAGCAATTTTATCTTACATCAGAAAGCTGATGCGTCGACAGAAATCGTACAAAAAAGAGCCGTAAAATTCTGACCCAGTTTAGAAAACTACAGGGCACAAAGGATCATATTTTAGGTTCAGGTCTTACAAAACACGTGGTCTGGTGATCTGTAGTCCATAAAAAACTAGGAAACTTCACTACCAAACTCGAGCCAAAAAAGAACATATATAAAGCTTCGTTGCCTTCCTTGGTTGGACAGCACTGCTGCTCCGCCGAGGCCAGCTCAACCCGAGCAGATGTCCCGCAGTCAACAAAGCCGCCCCCACCCTGGGTCGGTGCGGCTACGACCCGACCACCCGGCTGGAATGCGAGCTTCCGCGACAGAGGCCTGTGGCGGTTCAAGACATGAGAACAGAATGAATGAAGTGCTGCGTAGGCGACGGCAGGAAGGGACGCACGGTTTTGGTGGGAAGCCTGCAAGTGGGCCGAGCCGGAGGAAACCGGCCACCCGCCCCTCGTCTCAGGCGAGCAGCGAAGTGAACTAGAGACCAAGAAGCCTGGGCGGCGGGCCGCCCCACGCCCGGATGGAGCTCCCGGCCCCACCTGGGACCGCCCCAAGGTCACGCGGGCGCCCCGCAGCCCCCAAGCCCGCGCTCCCCCAGGCATCGCGAGCCACGGCCCCGAAGGCCCCAGGCCGCGCTCCCCAAAGCTCCAACCACGCGCCACTGAGGCCCCGCAGGCACCGAGCCCACAAGCCAGCGGGGGTTGGCGGCGGCGGCGCGGGCCGCCCACGTGGCCGCCGATAGCGACCTCGGCCTCCCGGCCCCCACCCAGTCCCCGCC